CCCTGGGAGTTGGGAGAGGACCTTTCCAGGTGGGAAAAAGCACAACAGTGTGATCCAACTTGTGTCTGTGGGAGAGAGAGAGAATGAGAGAGAGAGAGAGAGAGAGAGAAATGGAGACAGAGAGACAGATTGGGGGGGGGGTGGAGAGAGAGAGAGAGAGAGAAATGGAGACAGAGAGACAGATGGGGGGGTGGAGAGAGAGAGAGATACACAGAGAAGCAGACAGATACACAAACAGGAAGAGATGGAGACAGATAGACAGACTGGATGAGACAGACCCAGACACACTTGCACACACAGAGATAAGAATCCCCCTGCCCGGCAGGAGAGCAGGGGTGCGTGGGTGACCGCAGAGCAACGGGCTCTCCAGGCAAAGGTCCTACTGTGTGGCACCAAGACACCCATGGTGCAAATGCTGCCACTCCTGCCGACTTCAGGTGTCCAGGGACACGCTGACTCGGAGTAGAAAGGAGGGGGGGTCCAAGTGGCGTGTCGACTTTCTACCGGAGGCCTGGGAGGACAGGGGACTCCGAGGGCAGCGACAGAAGGCAGGGTTCGGGCACGTAGGGGCCAAGATCTGTGCTGCCGCCGCGCACAAGGCCCACCGGCCCGGGGCCCCAGTCTCTGCACGCACAAGGGGAGGCCCGAGCGACGGGCAGCGGAAGCTTCCTTCCCCACTGCACCCTCGGCTTCCCCTTTCCTCCCTCGGCAGCCAGCGCTCCCCGGGCTCTTCTTGCCCTCGTTTCTCTTCTCCTCTCTCCACCAGGGTCGCTCAGTCACCCAACAGGGCTGACGCTCCACGCCCAGGGAGTCACTCTGACCGAAAGCCGGCATGGGCAGAGGGCGAAGCTCCCCGTCTTGGGGGTCCATGCCCTTGGGAAGGAGGCTCAGCTGAGTTTGAACCACACGCCTACTCTGTGGGGCTGTTCCCTCTGCACCTGGACACCTGGTGCGAGGCCAGTGGGTGCGCCCACTGCCATCTCAACGCGGCGTCTGCCAGCACCACTGCTGCGAGGGCCTCATGCCGCCACGGGGGCCCGCTGACCCACAGGCGGGCGGGTGCTGCTCTGGTTTGGCAAAACCCGTCACTTCGGTCTCCGTGAGTGAAGCCCACGTATTTGTGAAGCTCTGCCTTCCTCTCCCACTTTGCCACATGTGCAAATGCATAGGGTGGTAGAGAAATAGACGGATGGATTTGCATCTACACAGTTTTTATGCGCTTTTGCACATATTTACGTGTATTAGTTTTTACAAGGAACAGAGTGCTTTCTCATGCGTCATCTCATTTGACTGGTTTTTTTTTAAAGCTCTGAGAGGCGCCATTTCATTCTGCAGATAAAAAGCCTGATTTTGCCCTGGCTGGCGTAGCTCAGTGGATTGAGCGCGGGCTGGGAACCAAAGTGTCCCAGGTTCGATTCCCAGTCAGGGCACATGCCTGGGTTGCAGGCCATGACCCCCAGCAACCGCACATTGATGTTTCTCTCTCTCTCTCTCTCTCTATCTATATATATATCTATCTCCCTCCCTTCCCTCTCTAAAAATAAATAAATAAAATTTAAAAAAAAAGCCTGATTTTCAGGGGTGGCGGGTGACTCCGAGCCCCACCCCACCCCCAAGTCAGTGCTGCTACACAGCAGAGCCGGTGCCCAGCCCCAAGCACTTCGGCCCCAGAGTCCACATTGGCCCAGCACGCCAGGCTTGTCCCGGCCGTAAGGACGTGTGTGCGCACACACACTGCTTCTTATAGACTTGAGACTGCGTGGGGTGTCTCCTCCTCGCAGCCCAGACTGACGGATTCGTCAGGCACTTCCTGAGGTCCTGGTATGTACCCGCCAGTGCGGGGCACCACGCTGAGGAACAACACTGTGACAGTGGACTGAACAGGCCCCCGGTCCCCAGCACAGTCTGTACAGAGCAGCACCCTTACAACCCAGGCGTGACTGCCGGGGAGAGCTGGAGGGGCAGGGGCAGGGGCATCAGGAGGGTCCCAGCTCCTCCGGGAGGAGGGCAGAAGAGCCCACTCACCAGGCAGGCGCCCTGAGCGGGTGACGAATGAAACCACACACCACCTCTACCATCGTCCCTTTCTTCACGACAGACTGGTGCTGAAACCCACCAGTGTCGTCGGTGCTGCTCCTCAGAGTTTCAAAGAATGCCTGACCCGTGATCCTTTCTCATTCTGTGAAAGCACTACCAGCATTTTAAACAGAGGTTTGAGATGACTAACCTGGCTAAAACCATGGAGTTTTTCAGGGAAGAACCTTGAGTCCAACCCCAAAGTGACTAGAATTTCTGTCCAATTTCCACCATTCTAGCAGAACAGGACGATTTTTAACCTCCTGTAGACCGAGGCTCATCATCCCAGAATCCTCAGGTGCTGAGCAACAGGGGACAGGCCACACGAGCTGTGCTGCACCCACACAGCACAACAGCAAGCGATGGCGGGCAGGAGGCTCCCTGTGCTCCCTCCCATCTGGGAAGTTCCCCAAGATACATGGGGGGGGTAAGTGTGGAACAGAGTAAATAGTCTTTTTATGTCTTAAAAATGAAGGGTGGACAGGATAAACATCCATTCATTCTGAGAACTGTGTGAGCTAGCAATGGGCAGACACGCACAGGAGAAACGACCTAGGGAACAGAGGAATCGCCCATTGGAAATAGATTCTCAATATACACCATGCGGTTGTGACTTGTTTGAACCCTGTTTATGTGTTATTCTAAAAATCAGACGTGTTGGATTAAAGAGCTTTCCCTCAGAAGTATTTTCTGCCCCCTTTCCTCTCCTTATTCCCGAGGCACACAGGCACACACACAAAAATGAACCAAGATTGGAAAAATAGGAAAACATTAATAGGAAAAAATGTGCAGGTGCAGAACCAGTCAGTGATGTCAGAACAGTGTCATCCATCCATTCACATCCCAAAACTGGAGTCCCACAGATACTCCAGATCCAGGCATTTTTGCAGTGAGCGGCTTTGGGAACCTAAGGGGTCAGATGAAGCCAAAGAAAATGTGCCTGAGAGCTTCTAAGGTTTTCTGAGCACAAGCAGAAAACATATGGACCCGTTTTCTCAATCTTGGACATAAAAACACTCTGTGGTGAGAGGACCCGGGCTCCTGGGAAGATTCTCTGACTTTTCTCCTCAGATGCCACCAACAGAACTTCCCGTGATGATAGAAATGCTGCACCTTTGTTGCCCAATACGGTAGCCACCAACCACCCGCGATGTGGTTAGTGTGGCTTCCCAGATTTTTAATTTTTAATTATTTAAGATTTAAAATGTCACATGTGGGGGGAATGGCTACCGCATGGGACAGGGCAGCTCTCGAGCCCACCAGTTACGAACCTCTCTCCGAATTCAGCAACCAGAGCTTGAGACTGAGTGGTGGCTAGAACGGTGCACACCCCAGGAGCAAACTCACAAGCCCCGGAGACTCAGTGGTTACTCCCTTTCTGTGTAGAAATAAATGTTGAGAACGAATTGGTTCTGAGTATTCATTCCCAGCCCTTCCTAAAGATCTGTTCACATGAGGAGGATGTGAGGGGTCAGGGTACAGGTGAGTTTGACGGCACCCTGCAGAGGAGTGTCCACAGGCCAATCCTAGCGGTCAACTGAAAAGCCAGCGAGAGGCCCTTATGCACAGAGCAGACCCTCTCAGTGGGTTGAACAGCATTGATTTTTGCCACACGCCCCTGCAGTGTGACCCTTTTCTTTCAGTGATTCAGAGAAAATATCCAGTAAACACAGGCTCACCAGCAAATTAAAGAGGATTCTTTCATGCCTATCAGCCAGCAGAGACCAGAACCTTGGGACCAAGTGCTCTTTGAGGGTGATCATGTGGCATTGAGTCTAGAAAAGGAGTGTGGACTATAGGGGGGATGTACTTCCCAATTCCACCCATTCCTGCAGCAGTGGCCAGAGGGCAAGTTTTATGTAGAAATTCCGATAACCACAGGCTGGCGTCTGAAAAGGCTGGGAGCTGGGCGCCAGGCTGGGTGCTGGAATGTTACCACGGCTAGGGAGACCGGACACCTGCCTCCCGGAATAACGAGCAGAGATAAGTAAGAAGAAACCTGGTAGTAAGATCTCAGGCTGTATTTTAAGGAATGTGAGGAGGATGGGATTTGGCATGAGAAGAAGGCAGGTTACTTTTTTGTATTCTGTGCTTGAAGTTGCAAACTGAACACATGCACACTTTAACCCTTTACACACAAGTTTATAATGGTTAACAATCTCCTATAACCTCACATAGTGGGGCTTTGATTTCTAGGTGGTAGACACCCTCTCTTCCTAAGTATCTACTTTTTTCTCTTTTTATTGAGTTTTTTTTTTTAATCTAACACTACCCCATTGGATAAAAGGCTAAGTGTCTGCTAATAAATTGCATAAATATTACCAGAACAATTTCTCCAAAGTTTATGACAGGGACCATTGCTCCTCATTCTCGGCAGTCCTGGGGATTGCTGGGTCAGTGGTGAGGAATGGTGTCCCTTACGTGCATAACAAACTACTGCAAAGGTTAGCAGTTGTTTTCTATGTCCTCCCTGCCCCTGCCTGGTGTCCCTGAGTGAGGAGCACAGAAGTTTAAATTCCAACCGGCAGACAAACCACCTATAATAGAGTCTGAAGCTTACTTTGCACAACTGCTCTTTTCAGAAACCGACCCAACTCTAAGTAGATTGTAGACATCATTAATCCTGAGACATGTGGGTTCTTCTCCTTTTGCCTGAACTACTATAACCGAACCACCCCTGGGGTCCTACCATTTGCCACCCATAGGCAAAAACTCTGGAGACAGAGTTTAGCAGAAAGCAAAGGAATTTTATTTAAGGTACACACAGCATAAAATAATAGTGGGTTTATGCCCCAAAGCCCTTTCCCTCTAAAACATCCTCCCCCAAAAAACACCCTGCCACCACGTTCTGCCAGCTCAGTCCACGTTTGCCCAGGACCTCTTCGTCCACAGAAGGACACTGTTCTTTACAAAGTGCAGGCGGCTTAGTTGGTTTCCAGCCAGTCTGGTCGTGGGCCTCCTTGGGAGTCTGAGTCCGGGTGTCCCACTGGTGGAGCACTGTCCTCCTCCTCCACGGCTGCCCTCTGGTGCGCTGGGGTGTCTGGCCGGGCAGGACCCCTGGGGCACAGCTCTGGTCAGCAGTGCTGCTGCAGCATCCGGGTGGGGGAAGGGCATGGGGCTTGTCGCCTGCCCATGCCACTCCCCAGGACAGCACCCACCAGTCTGCCAAGCCCTGTCCCGCACACTGGTGTGGTGGGTCCCAGCCCTTCCCAGGCAGAGCAGCAGCGATGGTGGGACCTGCTGCTGACCGGCCCTCCCTCCCCAAGACCACCACACAGGCAGCTGCAGGGGAGGGGTATGGGGAACGCTCCTGCACCACACAGCACCCCCCCCACTCCCAGGGAACCTGAGCACCTGGTGGCCGACCAGCCAGCCAGGGTGGGGGAGAACAAAGCTCAGTTTCTGCATGCTCTGCATTTCAAGACGACCCCCTTAATACCCTGCACAGATTAAGCAGATGGGAGAGTGTGGCCCTTCCATCTAACCACTACCTTAGCTGTAAGCATTAGTCCTACATGTTTTTCTACTGAGTTATACATATTTATTTTGGTTGCCGGGGTAACATACACATGCACACTTCTCAGTACTTCTCAACCCCTCCTCCACTGCACAGGGGAGGGGTCCTGTTACAATCCGCCCCCCACCTAGTATCTGGACACTTGTACTCTTACAAGGGGAAATGGACGACGGTCTCATTCTTCTGTAACTACTTCCTGCTTGTCAGGGTCGTAGTCCTACCTACCACTTGGTCCAGAAATCCCTAACAAAGGGGGGTCTGGAGTGGAAGGAAGCCTTTATACGACGGAGAAGATCTTGCAAAGTCCAGGTCAGGTGGTCGCCCCTGGAAAACAGTGTGCGTGATGTCCGAAGGATGGCATTGCTGAACAAGTTGGCAACCTTGCTGTATTCTGGAGGCAACAAATTTGGCAAGAGAGTTAGAAGGCACAATCTGAACCGTAACAACTACACGGCAAAGGCAGAGAGTAATTCTACAGTGTCCCCGGTTAAGAAAGAGTGGCTTCCTTGCAGGGAGGTGTTCAAGGAGTGTCACACCTGACTGAAGCCCTATTGCCCCCTATTCTCACATTAGGCATGGAGGAATATGCTGAGATCTACCTGTTTAATGCTTCTGAAGCCTTTCTACTTGAACTACTAAGGCAGAAAAGGAGACCAGTTACAAAATAAAGCTGAGAGGCCACCCTATGCTTCACTAACTCAGCCATCTAGTCCGGTCAAACCACTGCCTCTCAGGAGGTGCTGATGCAGGTAAGATTCTGAAGTGAGGCTTTTTTTCTCCAGACTTTGAAGACAGCTGCACTAAAGTCTGATGTTCACGACTGAGCACTGTGATTTTCCTCAAAACCCAACTCCTCTCCCTAAGATCACCCTCGTTGCCCTAAAAAAGACCGCTCGTTTTTCAATTTTGCCTTATTGTTTGCATGAAAACAGCAAGAGCAGCACTTGGTCACACAGACACTCCAATCTGCTTTGCTGGAACTCACAGGAGAACCTTTCGATCGACCCCTCGCCAGCTCTCCAGAGCACAGACGGGAAGCCCCACACCTGCCCCACAGCTTGGCCTGAAGTACCTGTCTGCATTCCTCAGTCCTTGAAGTGCTCAACGTGTCTTAAGGTTCCTCCTTGGCATCTTTCAGAAAAGCAACCTTCGTTCCTTCCCTGGAAAGACTGCCACGAACCACACGACAAAACACGGTACCAGGCTGCTTCTTCGGTGGGCTTTCATTAGCTTCGAAAGTCGATCTCAGGTCTCCAAGGCTTTCTGGTAACAGCCAGAGCCGGGCATACCTTCTCCAGGCATGACGTTCCAGTCAAAGTCTCCGTTGTTAAAACCATGATTTGAAACTGGTCTTATTGGTTTCATGCAAAACAAACTTTATGTCATTATTCATTAAGAATGCCAGAATCTGGAGGGATCAGGTAGGGAGAGAAAGACAAAGGAAAAAAGGAAAATCCTTGTCCTTCCAATAGCCACTAAAGTTGCATTTCCATGTCTTATGTTTTCCACTATTTCCTAATTTAATGTAAAATCTTAATGCTTATAAATCTTAATGCTTAATTTAAAAACACACACAAAATCTAAAGCAAAAAAAAAAGTTTCAAAATAAAAGGTGGGGTGGGGGGAGAGGCTAGAACCAGCCTCAGAATCTTGTCTCACACCATCAGTTACAAAGACAACGCCTGAAAGGTCCGAATGGCACAAAGCCACCGTGGCAGAGACATGTTCTTGCCCACTAGTGCGTTGTCCACTGGTCTCCTGGCAGTGGTGAGGTGACCTCTCACTTCAGCTGGACTCTTAACTGGCACCAATGGCAGAGACAGGGGATCCCCGATATACAGAAAACAGCAAAATTCCCCAAACCCCCAAAACATCAGAAAGAAACAAAATACAAAATCTAAAGCAAAGAATAACTGGACCTAAGCACGGAGGTTTCTCTCCTTTAAAAAAAAAACTTACAGCTTTCCATGGCCTTATGCAACCTTCACAAACCTTTTTGTTGTTGTTGTTTGCCACACAAGACAGTGCTCTCTCCCCCTTACTCCCTCAAAGGGAAAGAAGGATCATCAATGGCAAGTGGCAGTTACCGAAGCAACACCAAGAACCGGCTTCACTGGCAGGAGAGAACACCCCACCTCCTCCTCATGGTTTTGGGGGCTCTACACGTTCAGAGAAACTTCCCTAGTAACACACTACAGAAATGGTCCCTGCAAGTATAGTCTTCACAAACTTTCTGAATTTTCTATACACAGCTTGATACATGCCTTCTGCAAACTTCATAGACTTTTCTCACTTAGGAATAACCGTGACTCCCTTTCAATCCCTGTCCTTTTAAATGGTGGGAAGGACCACATTAAAACTCAGTGTCTAGGAGCTCCAAGTCCCCGAAACTGCAAACACATTCTCCTATGCAAACTTACTTTTCTTTTTTTTTTTTGGCCACACTAACATTTAAATTTGCTTATAATTTAAAAATAATATAGGAATAACCAATAAATGTGAGACAACGCGTTTCCACTTCCCAAGCCCAAGTAAGGAAATGGATGGGTTATAAGTGCTACTAAGGGACTAATGTAAATATATTAATACATAAAAACTGACACATAAAAACTTAGGAATTCCCCAGCATTTAACTTTCTGAGACAGAGGCTCTTTGGTCTCCCATTCCTTGCTAATAGGGCTGGGAGTGCTTCTCGTGGGTTGCCTCACTCCAGACTGCTCCCACACCACTCTTCCCATACGCACGTGTTGTGTTTGCAGTGGTCTGGGAAGGCTGCTCCACGACCATCGCAGCATGCCCGGGCAGCAAGCTGCAAACCCCGTAAGAGGCTCCTGGAGGCTGTTGTGAGGCAGGGAAGTCCTGCGAAGCCGGACTAGCAGAGAGCTCCATTTGAGAAATCTTCCTGGCCTGCTCTTCTTCCCACTCCTCTATCTCCTGCTCAAATCTCCAGTTATCTTCCTGAATGTAATGCTTAAGTTCATCAGATAGAGCTTCTAATTCTCCTAGCCTCTCCTCTGATTCACTTGGGGTCGCCTCTGCATCGGAGTGGGGTGCCCGGTCCTCAACATACATCAGACAGTAAGCACTGGCGTTTCTCGAGCCTCCGTAGGAATCACTTTGTAGTTCTTCCCAGGAAGATTCAGTGACGTAGATGTCATTGTACTTGAGCCAGACTTGCCTGGATTGATCGTAGATGTAGACCCAATAGTGTCCGGCATCTGCTTGTCCTTCATGAACGAGAACTGCGTGCAGGCGATAGGGCACCTGGCTGAGCAGAGGGTCACAGTACATCTGCCCAATATCCCGGGTAGTGTTTGCAATGAAATTCTTCACATCCTGTATATCTTGCTCAGTCTCACTGCTCAGCTTCTGAGGACCGGTCTCGACGTTCATCTCACCTGTGACTGTACAAGGCAACGGTTTTGCAGGCGCTTCCCCAGAGGACGGGGAAGATGTAAGGGGCTTATTCTTTGTGGGAGACTGGCAAAGAGGATCTTCAGAAAGAGTACCTGCAGCGTCCGGAGAAGAGCTTCCTTCACCTGTCCCTGAAGAGGGTGGTGATGTCACGCTGCTGTCACGTTGAGATGTCTCGTCCAGGAGTGGGACCTGAGCAGGGTCCGAGTCGTAGTTCACGTACTTTTCCACCTTTTGCTGTAGGACTTCTATTTCCTCCTTCAGCTTCCGAATGCACTCTCTCTTGCTTCGGACAAGATCTTTATTTTTGTACATGTATTTGTCCATATAAATAACATCAGAAAATTCCAGCTTATTGTGAATTTTCTCAGGCTGACCCAGGGACTGATTGAACTCGAATCTTGAGAGTTCAAAAGTCAGCACTGGAGGCAGTTTTGTGAACCAGCTCTCCTGTCCGTTCTCCACTGGCTGATTGGAAGGGAGCAGCTCAGCGTCTCCTTCTACCACAGCCCCATCCAAACACTCCTCCAAGTTGCAATAGCCGTTTACCTGAAGGGGATACAGGCCAAAGGTCTCACTGATGGAAAACGGCTTTCCTTCACGGACCCCTTCAGTGAGGACGGTGCCGTAGAATAGCCGCACCATCGGGTTTTCGGGGTTGCTGTTGGCATCGACCCCCTGCTGGAACGCGTCCTCCAGCCAGTCCAGGAGCTTGTGTGTAAACTCACTCACGTCTTGCTGCTGCTCCTCCTCCGCTGCCTGGAATGCTCCCTTCAAGATGTTCAAGGCTGAGGAAGGGTCCACAAATTTGCGATTCGATCCCATCATCAGAGCAAACAAACGCTGAAGCTCTTGCATGAACACCGCATTCCTCTTCTCTTTCTCGTCGGCACAGTTCTCGAGCGCGTTCTGCGGCACGGTGTAACTGAGGACGAGCCTTCGGAGCTCGGGCAGCTGGAAGAGAGACTGGATAACAGCACTGAACCAACACGTATTGCCAACATTTTTCAGTCCAACTGGCCAGCCATCAACTCGCTTCCAATCACTGGGATTGCGGTTTTCCCCCCAGATTTCTAAGTGCCTTCTCTTTGAGCGTTTAGCTTCTGTAGGCATAGCCTCGTGCTTTCTATTAAGAATCTTTCCCCCGGCTTGACATTTGGAGGAATTCAGCAGACTCAAAGCAACAGCAGCATCCATTTCATCTTTGTTTTTATGACTAAGGCCTAATACTCTGGCAAATGCCTTTTTGTTGGTGGCACTGCCCTTCTCTTCCGGTGGTTCGACAGCAATGGCATCTCGCACAGGCTCCCTGACTCTGTCACTAGTACGGCTGCCCGCTAGAAGCCTGTCAGCACTCCTGGCCTGCAACCCTTCGTAAAAGAAGGGAGAACCGTAAAAGCCCCTATCTTCACTCTGCTGATCTAACACCATTCGGTAGCCGGAGTCACGGCCATCTGCTGCTCCCGCCATGTTGTCCTCCTGGAACTCTGTCGCTGTAGCGGAGAGGCGCCAGCCGAGCCTTATGGGACACCAGGGAAGAGCTCTTCCTCCTACTGATTTCCTGGCTCCTGGGTTCCGGGCACTGAAACTTTCCTTTGTCTTATGATCAGAGAGGAGTTTGGAGGCCTCTTCCTTCCTCTGCAACAGCAAACGGTTCCCTGCTCTTGATGAAACCTTATTATGCAACGAAACAAATGCCCTAACATAAGGGATCTCGTCCCATTTGCCTAACTTTTGGCAATGTAGGTTCAACTGCATAATGGTACAGTAATTTAAGGAACCATTTACGGGCCATTTTTCCCCACCGTCTAAAACGTACGTAGGCCATACATTGTTGCAATAGTAAATCAATTCACCTAAAATCTGGCCTAGTGGGCTTCCTCCAAATCTTGAAATACTACAGTTCCTGACGGCCCGGAAGTACAGGCCCACGAGTACGAACGCAACAATACCCCAAGCAAACTGAGAACATATAAACACAATCAGCATAGGCTCCATTATTCTAAATCAGCACACAAACGCAACCGATCTCATAGTAATTCGCGAGCAATGACCTCCCCAAAACTCGGCCAGTTATCACCCCGACCCAGGCCCCGGTATACGGCCCTAAAATCTCAAACGGTGCTTCCTCCTTCCCAAACCCTTTGCCTTTCCACCTGCCAGGGGGTCAACCTGCCATTAGAGTCTACAGCGCCCCGTTGGGCACCATTACTGCAACCGAACAACCCGTGGGGTCCTACCGCTCGCTGGTCACAGGCAAAACTCTGAAGACAGGTTTCTTCGAAGTCTGAGTCTGCAGGTGTACTACTCGCCGCGCATGCGCTGGCCTCTTCCTTCCGCGCTAGCTCTCAGGTGCCTCCGCGTCGCCGGCGAAGCAGGATCCAAGCAGCACACCTCCGGTTGTCAGCGCTGTCAAGGCTGCTACGGCTTCCTTCTGAGGGACGGCCGCGGGGCTTGTTGCTGGCCACACAGCTTCCGAAAACGGCACCGACTGGGCTGCAAAACCCCGACCCACAGGTTGGTATGGTGGGTCCGAGGTCCTGCCTGGGCTGGAGTGGATAAAGCCGCAGCGGGAACCGTGGCTGATGGAGAACCACGTAGGTAGCTTTACGTACCAGGGGCAGGTCCGGGGCTTGCCAGTGGGAGCGCCGGGGGTCAGTGGCGGGGAACGCTCCCGGACCACACTGACCGCAGAAGGCTCGCAGTCTCGGGAACCTAAGTTGGCGGAGCGCACTGACCAGCCAGGAGTCAAGAGCGCAAAGCGCAGGACGTGTCCGTGCGCTGCTTTTAAAGATGGCCCCCATAATTCCCCACGGCGGAAGAAGGTGGGAGGGCATGTCCCTCCTGTCCAATTACCTACCTGTCCTTAAGCGTACATGTTTCTGCTGAGTCACGCGTGCGCATTTCCGGATGCCAGGGTGAGGCTGGCATACGTAATACTTGGCACTTCTCGACCCTTCCCCCTTTCCGTGGGGGGGGGGGGGGCGTGAGTGGTGGCGCAAGGTGGGAGCGGGGGTCCCCCTTTATACTACAACCCAAACAACTGTAACGTAAGAAGGCCAGTGAAGCTCTGATATTTTTTCAATATGGTGACATTGATGCTATGACCGAAAATTCACTGTATTTTGAAATCTTGTCATATTCTCATTTCTCTTGGAGTTATGATCGTACTTAATTTTCATAGATTTGTTTACTTGTTAATGATACAGTTTTCTACATGTAAATACAGGCGATGGTTCTCTTTTAGTACATCTTCTGGGGGTGCTCACCTCTGGTACAATATTAGGGCATGGGAATAAAATGGAAAGGGGAGAATTCTGGGGCTACATGTGAGCTCTTAGTCTCAATGTCAGTATGTACAAGGAATCTTTGATTGAAGTCCCAATACTTTCTAATGCACGTACATTATACTTAACAAAATATTTACCTTTATAATTTTAAGTTAGGATCAACAGATGACAAACACATGCTAACTTAAGTCTAACCTTAAAATACACGTAGTTGTTGAGATCTGATTATAAAACCATACTTGCAAAAAAGAGTTCAAATGAAACCATAAAAAATTGCGAGCAAATGATGGATGAAATAAAGGAAAAGATAGTGCTGTGCAGATTATTTGCAAATTTAAAAAAATTTAATAATTAGCGATGCTTCATCAAGCTGATTTGCTGTGTTTGGAACATACCATATAACCAAATAATGATCGTGCCTCTGCCTGGCATCTCAGTAAATCCCTGAAATCATCTTTTGCCTCTGGTGCCTGGGGCTTCCAGATATTGAAGAGCCTGGGTTTATCATTCTCATCAATTTTCCTCCATGCAAGTGATCCTCCTCAGACCCCTGGGACATGTTAGATAGAGACCTGCTCAAAGGCTGGAAACCAACAGAAGCTACTGAGTTTATTGCCCACTAAAGAACTTCCTCGTGTTTATTATATACCAGGGCCTATGCTGGTTTATCAACAATTTAACCTCATGGGGCCCTTGACCTTAAGGTTTTGCTGAAGATGTAACAAATGAATGAAATCAACATAGGTATCATTTGCTACTAAGTAGTCAAAGTTTTGATGTTGGTGACCAGTGGGGAGATTTCCAAGTCAAGTCTCTACTTGACTTGTGGGGTCTACAAGTGGGGTCAAGTCTCCCACTCGCCCCCTTGTTTCACTTGTCACACACTCAAGCAAAAGTGTATTGGCTTTCTTCCGCTTTTACAGTGCTAATACCCTTTCAAGATTCACTTCCAGCCATGTATGTATATGTTCCGAGGAGATCTCACCTTCTTCCTTTAAGTTCTTCACTGAGTTTAAGGTGCAGTTTGTAACATTTTGGAATGGGGACAAAGTCAACCTATTCCATGTAGAGATTTTACTGGTGTCATCGCTCTAGCAATAAGCTCTTTGGGACCATTAGTTATAGAACAGCCCCTTGTTAGAAGTACCAGCTTCCTGGTCTGGAGACTCAGACATGGTCTCTTCTGGTTTCTGCAGCTTTTACCCCAGAAGAGGAGAATGCTGGCCGCTAAGGGTGCTGGGTAAACATGTGCCGAACACAGTAAGGGCTTGGTGTCAACCATTCGTCTGGAACACCTGCTCTAACCTCTCGCATCAGAAGGTGAGAAAAGGCACAGAAGACATGGAGGCGGGGAGAGCCCCCACTCCTGGCCAAGCTCACACTCCTAGTAAGTGTTGGGGCTTGGTTTAAACACAACCTGGAAAGTTCGTGAAAACGGTCCTAAGAATCATGTAAAGCAATTCCCACCTGGGGATCCAAGTTCTCTAACATACGAGAGATGCTGGGTGGACCGAACCTTGTCCTCTCAGTGGACATGGACCTTGAAAGCCGAGGCCAGAAATTCTAGTTCGGTGATTCTCAGTCTGCTTGCCGATTAGAATCGCCAAAAACCCATCAGGAAATTCTAAAGAGGGGCCATCAAAGTGCTCACGTCCATGATACCCAGGACCATGCCTGCCAGTCACTTCTTTGGTTGGTGGTTGCAAGGCGCTGGGGGTTGGGAGGCATGGGGACGGGTCAACCAGAAATCCTTGCTGAGAGTCAATCCTGGAAAAGAGGATCCTAAGGACTTTTGCACAGTCCAGACCACCTCTTTTTGGGTTTGATGCAGCTAAGTTCCCGGATCCCTGGCAAGAACTCCTGTGGGGAAGCCCACGGCACCGCACTATTCCCTTTTCAGCTGCTTTGGAAACATAGGCATTAGAGCCTCTTGTAGTATTAAGATTTATATAAAACATAGTTCATTGAAAGTCAAGAACCCATTTGGGTTTGGAGCATTAAATAGTTAGTTGGTACAGGAATCTAAAGACACCCTTAATCTACCTCCAATTTACAGATGGCAAAACTGAGTATCAGAGGTTAGAAATTGGCCCTCATCTCATAATCCGTAAATGGGGAAGAGGTGCAATTCGGATTTAGATTCAGGCGACAATCCGAGCTCACCAGCAAATCACCGCCCCTTTCACCGCCCAGTTAGGCTTCAGAAGGTGTGTTGTCATTGTTAACGCGAGCCCAGAGCCTAACCCCCTCCGGGGAATAGGGCGGGGAGGTAACAGTCCCGCCCCGGAAGTTTGCCTTGCAGAATGTCAATCACTGGTAAGGTGATCTAAATTTAGAGACCACAATCCGACTCTGCAGTAACCAGGCCCTCCCCACAGCCAGGTCAGGTGACTGCGTGGAATGAATGCAGCGCCTGCTTCGTGAGCACGCTGACTCAGCGTTTTCTAGAGGCAGTCCCAATTTTAGTAAGACCCTGATCCTTTCCTAAACGTCTCATAAGTATTTTTACGTTGCCATACTTGGGGGCGGGGGGGAGGGGGGATGACCGTGCTTTTGTAGGTGTTTCTCCCTGTAACCTGAGTGTTACAAGCTCCTTCTTTGAGAGTGGAAGGGGCTCTGAAAAGAGCCTTTGTGTTTCAAACTGCTTAGGAAACTGAGATGTCTGTCAATTCACTTGCCCTTGGCCTTGTGGTGGCTCTCGGTCTTTTTGGGCAGCAGCACGGCCTGGATGTTGGGCAGCACGCCGCCCTGCGCGATGGTCACCTTGCCCAGCAGCTTGTTGAGCTCCTCGTCGTTGCGGATGGCCAGCTGCAGGTGGCGCGGGATGATGCGCGTCTTCTTGTTGTCGCGCGCCGCGTTGCCCGCCAGCTCCAGGATCTCGGCCGTCAGGTACTCCAGCACGGCCGCCAGGTACACGGGCGCGCCGGCGCCGACCCGCTCGGCGTAGTTGCCCTTGCGCAGCAGGCGGTGCACGCGGCCCACGGGGAACTGCAGACCCGCCCGCGAGGAACGAGACTTAGCTTTGGCGCGCGCTTTGCCGCCCTGCTTCCCGCGCCCAGACATTGGAAACAAAGAAAGACCGCTGAGGGGGGGGGAAAAAAACAGACGAGTGACTCCCCAAAACAGGTGATTTGTGTGAGTAGGCCGAATATGGCCGCTTTTATAGGCAATTCCTGGGGAGCAAATAGGGATGTTTGATTGGTTCAAAATAAATTCAGCCAAGTAGCCAATAGAAAAACTTTATTTCCATGCTTCATTTACATAGGTCAGCCCATGAACGACAGTCTTAGTGTCTGCCAATGAACTGAAAGGTTTTCTGCATCCCTTATTAGCATAAAGGCTCTATAAATACCACACGTCCTTCCCCCGTTTCATTTTACTCTTGCTTTGCTTACAAGCTAAAATGCCAGAACCAGCCAAGTCCGCGCCCGCCCCGAAGAAGGGCTCCAAGAAGGCCGTGACCAAGGCCCAGAAGAAGGACGGCAAGAAGCGCAAGCGCAGCCGCAAGGAGAGCTACTCGGTGTACGTGTACAAGGTGCTCA